CTGGGTATTTACCCAAAGAATGCAAAAACACTAATTCAAAGGGATACACGCACCCCTATGTTTATAGCAGCATAGTCTACAATAGATTACAACAGATTCCAAGATATGGAAGCAGCCCAAGTGTCCACTGATTAGTGAATGGATGAAGGAGATTACACACACACACACACACACACACACACACACACACACACACGGAGATTATGTATATTTATACACACATATATATAATATTCCATTACACATAATGGAATGAAAAGCCATAAAAAGAATGAAATCCTGTCATTTGCAACAACATAGGTGAAGCTGGAGAGTACAATGCTAAGCAAAAGTAAGTCAGAGAAAGACAAAACACCATATGATCTCACTCATATGCAGAACTTAAGAAACAAAACAAATGAGCAAAGGGGGAAAATGAGGGAGACAAATCAAGAAACAGACTCTTAATTGTAGAGAGCTGATGGTTACAGAGAAGAGGGGTAAGTACATAATGGGGATTAAGGAGTGCACCTATGAGGAGCACTGGATGGCATATAAAACTGCTGAATCACTATACTGTGCACCTGAAACTAACGTAATACTATGTGTTCAGTAGCTGGAATTAAAAACTTAAAAAAAAAAAGAAAACTATATAGACTCAAAAGAAAAATTACTGAGACATAATTGGATAATGCTACTTGTAGAATCAACAAAAACTGTTTTGCAAAATGTCGAAATATTTTAGTTTAAAAGATTTATTTACTTATTTGAGAGAGAGAGTGTGCACAGGACTAGAGGAAGGGACAGAGGGAGAGGAAGAATCCTGAGCAGACTCCATGCTGAGCGCAGAGCCGGCCTTGGGGCTCAGTCTCACAACCCGAGCCAAAATCAGGAGTCTGACGTTTAACCCTAGGTGCCCCTCAAAATATTTTTAAAATAGCATTCTTTTCTTTCCAACATTCTTTTTAAAGATGTTTATTTATTCATTTGAGAGAGAGAGAGAGAGAGCACAAGTCGGGGAGAGGGGCAGATGGAGAGGGAGAAGCAGACTCCCCACTGAGCAGGGAGTCCAGTATGGGCTCAATACCAGGACCCTGGGATCACGACCTAAGCCAGAGGCACATAACCAACTGAGCCACCCAGGCACCCCTCGGTGTTCTTTTTAACAGAACAATTTTTCTTTTTCTGACTATAAAAAGAAGTAATTGTTCATTCTAAAAAAAATAAACAGGACATGAATAAAGAAGACCCAATTACATCACTTTTAATATTTTAAAACACAACCATTTATACTATTAAACAAGGTTATGAGTATTTTAAATTAATAGAGCAAAGCTAGCACTGGATAAACCCATTTACAAGAAACAATGAAAAGGGGATCTGTTTTTTTTTTTCTTTTCTAAACATTTTAGTTTTCCTCAGTGTCTACATATTTGGTTGTAGAGTATGCCATTTTCTACATATTCTTCTTAATCCAAAAAAAAGTTTTGTTCAGGGAGAAGAGCACCTGTTGAAATCTACACATCAGAATATCACATCAACTCAGTAACATAAGCTCCTACGCACTGTGATGGCCCAACCTGGACACACTGTACTAGCAAATTCTTCGCATCTTAACCTCCTTTATTTATCGCACACTTACATCTTTTTCATCTCTGATGATTACCTCCCAGGGTGGAGAGAGACAGAAGAAAGTCCTTTAAGGCAACAACTTCATTTATTTCTAAACTTATGAATCAGTGCTATATGTAGAAGGAACCTGCTGGTTCATCTTTGTATCTTCCAGGTAACATGTATACAACAAAATACCTTAGATTCCATTTCAGTAAGTCAAGAAAACTAAAATGTAAAGACAAACGGCAAAACATTCCTGAACAATCTGTTCCTACTACTGCCAACCTGACAAAAGAAAAATGTTTAGGCATCTTTTAATACAATCAGGTAAGAAGGTAAGTCAATCTCAGAATCTTCCCAACAATTGCTTGCTAGTTTATCCTTAATCTCAAATGTCTTCATGAATAACATTCCTGGAAAATGAGCTTTCAGAAATTATGGAAGCTCTCTATATTTAAAAACATTTGAATTTAAGCCAAAATCTGCGTTTAAACAGATACAAAAAAAAAAAAAAAAAAAAGGCCACTTCAGGAAACTCTTAAACTCAATGGATTAATTATGTTATAAAATGTAACTTTCTTAAATTGGAATTAGTGATCTTTAAATTGTGATGGCAACAAATATGGCAGCCACAATGAAACAAGGAGCTCACATTCTGAACGTTTTCTATGAGCCAGGAGCCATGTTGGGCACATAGACTACATTACCTTGTTCAGTCCTCAAATCCAGCATTAACAGTAAGGTATAAGTCTCTGGATTTTACTGATGAGAAAACTGAGGACTTGGTAGCTTACCTAGGGCCAAACGGCTTCTGCAGGCCAGGATTTCAGTCCAGATTTCATACACATGGGTTATAAAGGCTTCCAACACTACGTAACTTTAGAAATGGCTCCACAGGGGGCGCCTGGGTGACTCAGTGGGTTAAGACTCTGCCTTCAGCTCAGGTCATGATCTTGAGGTCCTGGGATCTAGCCCCGCATTGGGCTCTCTACTCAGCAGGGAGCCTGCTTCCTCCTCTCTCTCTGCCTGCCTCTCTGCCTACTTGTGATCTCTCTCTGCCAAATAAATAAAATCCTCTTTTTTAAAAAATGGCTCCACAGATAATAGAATTACCAGTAATAAACTACAGCATTACTGTTTGGCTGTCACTTAGAACCAAATTGGATAATTACCACCAAATACAATATAATGATGAGAATAATGGTTACGCTTTCTATTCTTAAAACACATTAATCTAAAAAAGAGTAGTTTCAAAATAAGTATTATCTTATTATATAAACACGTTAAAATATGTCAAAAGGAAGTTAAGTGGCTTGCCTTCGAGTTGCATGTGAAACATGATAAAAAATGAAAACTCTAAACCTAGAACTTGCCTTATAGAGGCTCCCTTTGTAGCTCACAGTAAAGCTTTCCTTCTCTACTCTCCTTCACCAAACATTTTTTTTCCTATAAGAAATTATTCAACAAAAACTTAACAAATGTGAATAAAGGCAATGTCAAGGAAATGCTATGTCCTGGGGCTTCAGTTTGATGATAGAGTAAACTGGCAAGTTTGGGCCTACTAGATTGGTATTTCAATAAACAAAATGTGTAAGATCAAGGGAAACGATATCACAAAACATGGAAAGGACTAAAGCAAAAGATTTAGGCAAGGAAAAAGAAAACTCAGAAATTTTGTAAGGACAAGGTACAGACAGAGGTACAAAGGTGTGAAGGCTTTTGAGGAAAAGAAAGAAAGAAAAAAAGAAAGAAAAAAGAAAGGGAGGGAGGGAGAAAGGAAGGAAGGAAGGAAGGAAGAGAGAGACAGAAAGAGAGAAAGAAAGAAAAAAAAAGAAAAGAAAAAGAAAGAAAAGAAAAGAAAAAAAGCAGTAGAGCACAGTGGTTCAATGCATAGGCTTTGGCTCCAACCCAGCTGAGTGTGAATGAACCTCCGTTACTGACTAACCAAGTGACCTGGCATTAGTACCCTTCTTTAGTTTGCTCATCTCTAGGATAAGAACAGTAACAGTACCTATCTGAAAGGGGTATAATGAGGATTAAATGTTATAATATATGTACAACTTAACACTGTTAAAACTGGACACATATTGTTATTAATTATCAAAAGGAAAAGCCAGAAGAGGAAAATGCAACAAACAGCCTCAGGTTTCCTCTACAGACACCTACTGAATCCTTTCTAAGTATATTTACACACCAAACTAAAGGAATAAAAATATGATTTCCAAATAATGCATATCATGTTGAAGACTCTATTTGTGACAGCTGAAAAGTTAGAAGTATTATGCTTTCTTGAATTTTGTTTTCCTTGAACGGGTCTGAACCTAAAAGGCTCATCTCAACTTATCCAAGATGTCACTGGCAAACAGAGATAAGAATATACAAAATACAAATCACAGAAATGTGAAACAATTAAATTTTGATTCCCAAATAAGCAAAGTCTTATTCTAAGCGAGTGTTTATTAAACTGAAACAAAGTCTGATTTTGATATATAGAATACTATTTTATTCTTTATTTTAAACCTTTCTTACATGTTTAAAAATATACATGGGTTCAGAACAACCTCAATAAAATGATGACATTTTCTATTAAAGGACCTCTGAAGTCAAACCACTAGTGTGCAAACACAGTTGGCTTCCAATTTGAAGTCATAGGCACATTTCATTAAATGCATTTCATAAAACGAAGAAATCAAAATGCTGAGAAGAAAAATACTCAGTAGTTTGATATAAACTTTAAAATATATGTCAGGCAGGAAACTTAGAGTAAAAAAGTAAGATTTAGATGTTTTACCACTCACACCTGCTTCACTAATTCCCCAAATGCCATTTTGCTACATCTAAACCCCTGATAATTTATTATACAATTCCATGTAGCACACTAAAAAATAAGTTAATTTAATCTTTGCGTATGAAAACAGATCATTACAAAAGAAAATACTGACAGCTCTTACCTGTATTTGATAATTAAGTATATCATATTCTCAGCAGTACTAAGAATGCAGCTTGGTCTAATATAAATATCTAAATAACAACTACACAAAAGTAATTTTCTCTTCAAAGAAGTTTTTGTATATTTTTTCCAATGTTGATGACTTAAGCAACATTGATCTATATATTGTGCTAAGAAAACATTAGGCACAGATCACATGATATAATTTACATTTTCTTTGTTGTAAAAAATATAGTATATGCAAATGCATATCATACAAATGATTGGTGGACGCAACACTAAGCTTTGTATACCTAACACAAAAAGATTAATATTTACTCTTAAGGGGGAAAGGAAAGGGGGACACATGGAGTGTGGTCCGAAGGGCAATCGATACCTCACTTCTGGTGAATACTATGCGTCTGCATTAGAATTATTTGTGGATTTTCTTAAAGAAAAACAAAGCTTTATTAAAGCAAAAAAAAAAAAAAAAGATACCACTTTGGGCACATGAACTGAATGAAAAGGAACCAGATAAAAATGTTTACAAAAGCTATTAAGAATATTTAACACAATATCTGAAATGAGCTATAGATTGCTTTATTGGAAGGAAGAGATTATTTAACATTATGATTGTTTTATATGGTAGATTCTTTATTAGCTAAGACACTTTTGGATTAAGGTACCGAAGGAGGCAGATCAAGAAAAATGGAGAGAAAAAGAAAGAGCAGGCTGTCAGAAAGGGGGTGGGGGGGCTAAGCATATTTAGCCAGAACAAAAATACTGTTTCTTTTTGTTTATAGCAGAAATTTTACGCTGTGGATAGTATAAAAACACAAGCAAAAGGGTTATGTGGCAGGTAATAAAATACAATGCTTACTACGCATCCTTCATGGAGAAACCACTTATAGATTGTAGATTCGTATGTAAAAGTATGCATTGATGCAAAAAAAAATGTACATTGCCACATATATAATATGTAGCATTTTCCTACAAAGGGCAATTTATGTAAGTAACTTCCACAAACACAAAGAGAGGGAGAGAGACATAGACAGACGGAATGAGAGGCAAAGACAGAGGGGAGAGCTCAGAGAAGACAGAGATGCCGAGGGGCTTTGCTCATGTCCTGTGGAAGATCTGAGATACTTTTTTCATTTTTTTTTTCATCCTCAGTGCTTAATTTTGCTATTACTGTACATTTATATTCACACTCTATAATTATCTCATGAGATTGCCCTCTATACATTCTTTTCTCTAGTTCCCCCCCACCATCACCACTGTGGAAAAAGAAGGGGAAAAAAAAAAAACCTCTTGTCTCTCCATCTCATAGTCAACTATTCAAGTAAATATTTCTCTAGTGGCAAATTTCCAGATGAATCAAGAATACAATCCAAAACCCCTTTCGGATTACATTTGATTTCTATATAGTTCTCTTCAAATGGAGCAGGAATTAGCCCGTTTCCTAGGTTTGGGGTCTCGAGCTTCCTGATCCTTCACACACATACAAGATGTGCACATTGTCTCGGACAGTCTTCGGAGGCCTAGCCGGAAAACACTGTTGGAAAGGCTATAGATCACACAGTTACAAAAACTATTACTTATAGCAAGCCAGGTTGTTAGGAAGGACAGCGTTGGATTGTCCAAGACCCGGGAGCTTTCTAGAAGAAAGTAAATTATATAAGGGAGCCACAGCATGTAAAACACACTGGTTATCCGAAACAAAACCATGGCGTAACGACGGTCGGGGCTGTGTCCAGTCTCTCCAGAGGCATCCACCTCATGGCTGGGAAATCGGGCCCTCCGGTCATTTATCTCTTTGGTGTGCTGCCGGCAAATTTTAAAAATATGGAAGTAAGTGAAGCAGACAACAAAGGCAGCAGGAGCATAAAGTAAACAAACAATAAAGCCAGTAAAATAGGCACTGGTGAGCCAAGAGGTGGCACACCATTCAAAGATGTCACCATGGTACCCTGGTTTCCCCCAGCCAAAAAAGGAAGGCAAGAAAATTAGGCAAGAGTAGATCCAGATTAAAATAATGCAAATTCTCAGGCGACAGGGGGTGACCAGTTGATTGTAGGAAAGAGGCTTGGTTATTGCCAGATAGCGGTCCACACTTATACAAGCAAGACATGCCATAGAAACACTTTTTAGAACGGAGATGATATATCCGAAAACCTGGCAGGTCAGTGACTCATGGATACCTGTGGAGTAGTGGAGAAGTGAGAGAGTAGGAACCAAGCAGCTCACTCCAACGAAAAGATCAGCATATGCCATCGTCTGAATAAAGTAGCTGGTGGTATAATGGTGCAGGAGTGGAGCACAGTGAAAGACAAAGATGACTGTTAAATTCCCGGCAATGATTAGAAATGTCAGCAAGACAATAACAATGGTCTCAAAGATGCACACATCCACTGCACTGTAGTAGCCAAATCCAAGTGGGCAGGAGTGACGTTCAGACACATTCACAATGCCACTGCTCATGTTCAAGATGCTCCATTCAGTCCACCTGGATTCATTCATGGCTTGGAATTAAGGGACCGTGCAGCCGTGGCTCCAGCAAGCAGGTGCCCTGTCCAGCATGTGTTAAACTCTGCACATTAGTGTCTTGGGATCAGCTTCAGGAGACAGCGGCAGCGCTTCTGTCACAGCTAAGCCTCCCAGAGAGTGCTCAAGCCTCTTCATCAGCTCAGTGCAGCAGTGACACATCTCAACTTTTGGGGGGGAAGAAAGGGAGGTAAGCTAGAAAGGAGGTGAAAAAAGGTCACTGATTAGCTTCCTCCGGTACTCTCAAACAACTTTCTCAAGACACAGGCACTTCTAGAGAAAATAGATTTCTTATTACCTTGCACTATGAAAAATTAGATCTGCAAAAAGAAAAAAAAAATCTATTGCCAAGGGAAGAAAAGCCTTTGTGGGCTGTTTGGTCTCCTCAGAAAGGTAGTTTGTTAGGGATCAACTAGAATAAATGAGAAAAAAAGAGTCTTAAATTGTCTCAGGCTTCCTGCTTCATCTATGATGAGAAGTGGATTCATATTTTACAATTTAAATAATTAAGATCTAAGATCTAGTTGCAAATCTAAGAAAAAGTTCATTGCAGCAAAGAGTGTCTTTGGGCTCAGTTCAGGGTTTGATGCTGGTGGATCAACTTTATGATCTATTTCTCTCTCATTTCTCAAAAGAGCTAACCCCCCACACGCACCCCCAAAAACACAGACACAAGGTTAATTCTAAAAGACTCAGCTCTACTGGGGCACAAAGGAGCAGAACCGAGGTAAGACTCCAGATTGCCTTATAACTCTCATGAGGAAATAAAAGCCTATTTCCAGTACGGAAGATAATATACAAATACAATATAACATTGTATATATTATATACAATGTTAACACCTGACAAAAGACGATAAACTTTAAAGTTTTAATTCTGCATGCAATCTTCTAAGCATTCAGATGAAAACAGCTTTAGTCCATCACAATTACTAGTGCTACAACCAACAATGTAATTTATACTTTTTCCTTTTCCAAGGGAAAATAAATGTTATTAATTTCAGCATCATTAACTAAAAGTAACTTTCATTATCTGATATGCCACCTTCCTTACAATGGAGCATGACCATAAAATACATAGCTCAAAGTTAGTCTCACCTTCACAAGCACACCTGTATCTCACATATATATGTAAGGATACATGAAATTCAGGCAATAGAAACTTTCCTATATACTCTGAGCTTCTTTGACCAGAAATGCTGCCATTATTTATTACTCAGGAATTCCTAGTAGGCTTCGTAGTCTCTGTTTCTAGATCTCTTCTATTTTCATCAGAGGAGTAACACATTAGATCATTACTTTGACTAAATCTTCTGAAAGTGGAAAATTACCTTCTTTGTTATATTTGCAGTTACATAGCAGTCATATGTTAAGAAAATGCCTCTTCTATTACTGTGTTCTATTTTGAGCAAGTGCTCAATTAATACAAGGGCCATTAGGTAGGTTATAAGATGGTCTTATTTTAAAATACCTCTAAAGCATCAAGATGAGTTTAAATCCTACAGTGTGAAATACTGAAAGGCTTGCAGGATAGAATCCATCCAAAAGGCTTCCAAGGTCATTCTGCTATCAAGTGAACATTTGTCAAATGTACTTTTTTAAAGTACAGGTATTTGAGAGAGTTTTCTGTCAGTCTTTGTTGTCATCCCTCTTGAAGAAATAACATTGCATTAGATATAAAAACATTTCCTTCAGGAACAAAGCAGCAGCTTAATAGAAAGCATTCTTCTGAAAGTTATTTTCTCATGCACCACCAAGTCATTCAGGGAAGTCTTTCTTCTTTTGTAACATCCACAGGATATTCCTCCTTGCACATTCCTAGTTTCACTTATCACAAAATAGTTCTCTTCTTACAGGAATAAGGCAATGCTTCTCACCTACATTCACTCTTACCAGCTGCTAGGCTGGGCTGCTTGCTTCAGAAGTCCGATTCACTGCGATGCAGTCACCAGGATGCTGTCGGTAGATAATTCACAATCTCTCAGTATCACTGCCTCCACCTGAGCCGGAGCCCTGCTCCTCCTCCTCATCCTGAGCTGATGCAGAAGAACTCACCATCAGAAAGGTGACTCGGTCCTCCTGCCCCAATCAACAGCACAGCCAATGGCTACTGCAGCTGAAACTGTCACTAGGTAACAGTTGCCAGGCACATGCAGGCTTATAGACTTACTCGGCAAGCTCCGATCAAGATTGACAACAGAAGACAATGCAACTGACCGATCCTTATAACATATTAATGGCACGTGTGACTCTCTAGAGGCAGTCTCCTTATAGCATTTGTAAAGATTATTTCCTGTGGACAGTACAGAAAAAAAAAACAACAACAACAACAAAAAGCACTGGGATACACCTTTAAACCCTATAGAGAAAACTACCAGGAGGTACTCTGACACTAAAAAGTCAGCAGAAATCTAATGCTCACTGGCAGAAAAAATGTATTAATTATTAAAAATCAGCTAAGTCTTCGTGAACTCAAGTGATATAGCTACTATTTTTACTCTCTAAAATATAGTTATATTTTGATTAATAGAAGTCATTTAATAATCTCTCCAATCCCTGCCATACCCACACTAAATTGCTGAATTTAATGTATTTTACTGTATAAACAAAGCAGTGGAACTAACACTTCTATGCTAAAATCGATTTGGGCAAATATTTAAGGTTAAATGCGAATTCTGAAAAGTAGGTATTAGAAATAAGTAAAATAGCCATTTACTCTATTCTTTATCCTAATATGAAAAACACTCAGAGTCAAAGAACTCTGTCATATAGTGACTGAGCTACTCATGCCCAAGTTAGAAGAAAGCAAATTAAGCTCCTTAACCTGGTGGAGATGAAAAACATTTCCATTTATTTTGACGTACTACAGACAAACATTCTCTATTTTAAGCTTATTTTTCATGGGGTCAGCACTTTTCTTTAAAGTGACTTAGAAATAATTTACAAATCATTTCAGAATTAAATAAGGAAAATTAAAATGAAAATGGAAGATAACTAACATCTGTTAAGCACGTTCTGTGTGCCAACCATTATGCTATGTGCTTTATATATTTTCTCTCTATAAAAACCTTAAATCTTTAAGGAGTAGGTACCCATCATTATCATTTCTCAAAGGAAGAAGGTGGGTACTAGAAAAGGTAAGTATAACTTGCCTACTAGAATCATGAAACTAGCACTGAAGCAGGTTAAAACTGTCAATCCTAACACCATATTGATAAACCTCTCTTTCCCTCTGGACTTTTTTTTTTTTTTTTTTTTTTAAGATTTCATTTAAATTCAAGTTAGTTAACATAGAGTGTATAATTACTTTCACCGGTAGAATTATTCATCAGTTACATATAACACACAGTGCTCTTCCATCAAGTGCCCTCCTTAATGCCCATCATCCACTTACCCCATCCCCCCACCCAACTTCCCACCACCAACCCTCAGTTTCCTATAGTTAAGAGTCTCTTATGGTTTGTCTCCCTCTCTGATTTTATCTTATTTTATCTTTCCTTCTCTTCCCCTGTGTTCAACAATTTTGTTTCTTAAAGTGATTTTTAAAGAATAGAAAGCCCTATTTTTTCCTCCATGTTGAACTGCCCAACAGGAAGGCCATATTATTGTTAAAAATCTTCAGAGGCTTAGCTGAAATACAGAATGCAAGCACATTTCTCATTACCAGAATAATTTATAAACAAAGTTAGAATAACAACTGTAGAGTGAGTACCAAGCTGAGCTTTGAAAGTAAATATTTAAATGTAATACAAAAGGCTAGAAGATCCTATTTTACAGAGAAGTATTTTGACTTCTAGAGATACCTAAAAGCATTAAAATCAAACAAGACTAGAATTAACTAACATTCTCTTTTACAATAATAATATTCAAAATAAAAATTATATTTGATAAATATTCATGAATGTAGACAGATCCCATATCCCATATTAGAAAGAGTTAAATACTAAGCTTTACTATAAATCCATCAAAAAATAAAACACTATCAATAATTAAAGTTACCCATGTCACCAAAATCTAAATAAACCATTTACAAGGATAGACTTTACATATATTTTTTAAAGATCTACTCCTTTTTTCCTAAAGATTTTTATTTACTTATTTGAGAGACGGAGCCTGAACAGGTTGCTTGGGGCGGGGGTGGGGGGAGAGGGAGGAGAGGGACAGAGAGAGGAGAAACAGGCTCCCTGGCTGAGCAGGGAGACTAACACGGGGCTCTATCCCAGGACCCTGGGATCATCATCTGAGCTGAAAGCAGATGCTTAACTAAGTCACCCAGGCGCCCCTAGATTTTAGATATTTTTAAAATAGCTTTGAATGTAATTTTTCCAAAATCAGGGAAATGGCAAAAAAAAGTCTCACAGGGAAATTCAAATACTAAATTCCTTTAGTTTGACACATTTGTTTCTAAAAACTATCACTGACAGGGATTTGAGTCTATGAATACTCTAATCCATAATTGTACATGCTTTCAAAAGTATTATGACAATATAAGAAAGAGTTCAAGTAGAGTCTTTGATCCACTAAGCTTCCCGCTTTCCTTCTACCAACTTACAAAAAACTTCAATGGTTCTTACAAGATAATTTTCTTTTTTTAGAGATTGACTTGTTCCCTCATCCTTTTTTCTGATCTGATTATAATAGGAACTAATTTATAATGTGAAGCTCTAATAACAAAAAGGCATTCATATCATATATTTACATAGCTCATTACATAAAGCATTCTTTGTGTTTAAATTAGGCATAATTCTCTTCATGTTAGGGGCCATTAGGTGTTTTATTACTGTCATTCTTATTACAATCATTATCAACCACCTCCCTCTCCTTTCAACTGAGGAATGCTAGTTGGGAAATACTAAGAGGAATCATTATTTGGGATATTTCAGAATTACCTCTAACAGCAAAAAATATAGCTTTATGAGATGACACACCACAGGTGTTTGATTTCTTATTTATACCATATGTTTTACATATTCTTTTATATGTATCAATATTTCATTATTAAACATCTAAGCATTTCAGGCAACTACTCAATAGGACCTAAATAGCAAAGTAACAGAAGGATATCAGCATCAATGGTAAATAAGATAAACAGTAAGTAATGATTATCAAGAAGAACTACATAACCAATATAATACTATAAAAAGTAAACAAATAGAGAATAAAAGCGTTTTTTTAAAAAAACATTTTTAAAGGTACAAAAAAGGTGTATACATCCAGAAACAGAATGTATCTATTTCTTCAACTACCCTCCCATCTGTTAACTTTTCTCCATCTCCACTGTCACTGCCCTAAGCAAACTAGCATTACCTTGTGTGTGGGCTCATGCAGTGGCTTCCAGTGTGGTCTTCCTGAGCTGCCTGTGACCTCTCTTCAATCCATTATGCATAAACAAACAAAATATTCTTTCCAAAAATGCAAGCCAGATGATACCACTACCCTTTTATTTTATTAAGATTTTTTATTTATTTGACAGACAGAGATCACAAGTAGGGAGAGGGAGGCAGAGAGAGAGAGAGAGAGAATGGGAAGCAGGCTCTCCGCTGAGCAGAGAGCCCGATGTGGGGCTCGATCCCAGGATCCTGGGATCATGACCTGAGCCGAAGGCAGAGGCTTTAACCCATTGAGCCATCCAGGCGCCCCACCACTACCCTTTTAAAATACTTTAGTGGTGGGGCGCCTGGGTGGCTCAGTGGGTTAAGCCTCTGCCTTTGGCTCCGGTCATGATCTCAGGGTCCTGGGATCGAGCCCCTCATCGGGCTCTCTGCTCAGCGGAGAGCCTGCTTCCCTCCTCTCTCTCTCTCTCTCTGCCTGCCTCTCTGCCTACTTGTGATCTCTCTCTCTTTCAAATAAATAAATAATCTTTAAAATAAAATAAAATACTTCAGTGGTTTCACACTGCACTTAGGATAAAGTCCTAACAGGTCCTATAAAATCTGTTCTCTACAAATTCATCCAACCTTAACTTCTTTTCAATATTGTTTAGGATTAGCTAAACCTCCCCCTCTTCCACCCATCCTCCTGTCCCACATATATTTGCTATGTTCTCTACTGCCTCAGGACATTTGTACCTGCTGGTTACTATGCTATCACACTTTTTTAGTTAATTCAGGTGCAACCTTCAGATTTTGTTCAAATACCACTGTCTCACAGCTACCTTTCTTGAATTCCCAGATTAGACCAGATTCCAATCTTATTGTAGTTTGTAATGACCTAGTCCATACCTTTCTAACTAGATTGCAAGTCCCACGAAAGGAGAAATACCTGTATTATTCCTCATTATATCTTAAGTACCTACTTTACACTACTGGGCATAAAACTGGAGCTAAATAAAAGTTTAATATAACTAATATAAAGCACATAAAAATAGCTTGAAGAGTCTGTAAGACAGAAAAACACCAATAACCAGTTTCTGCGAAGCTCAGAGTTCCTTGCAATCCCCCCTGAATGACATTCAAGCTTCACAAGAAATTTATAAAAGTGTATAACTTAATTGCAGAAGGAGAATAATTAGACTCTTAATATATTCAAATTAAGGGAAATATTATTCATCTATACCTCTACCTAAACCCAATTCAATATGAGTATTTGACTAGTGCTTTGAAAAATCCTATCTGGCAGGGGATAATGATTATTGACTTATTTTAAGAATGACAAGTACTACAACATACAGTATCAATATATTTTAAAAATGTAGTATCAAAGCAACTTGGTCTAAATGCTAAAAAAAAAATGTGAAGTAGCACATATTACAATCACTGATTTAGTGATGTCTCAAGGACAGAAAACAAGTTTATATTATTAACTTTATTTCATTATGACAAGTTATTAACAATTACAAATATTTAACAAATATTAAATGAGTGGCGCTACAAAAAAAAACTTCCTCAACCTGCTAAAGACCCTCCACGGAAAAATCTGTAGCTAGAATGGTATTTAATGGTGAAAGAGTAAATGCTTTCT